ATTTTTGTCGCTTATTGATGTAGAAAATATTTTTAAAGTGAAAATATAAATAATTCAGGTATAAAAATTCACCATCCAGTAAAAATGGACGAATTTGTTTCGGATGAAGACTGTGTTTTGAAAAAAATTTTAATCGAAGTGTCGGCAAGTTGCGCGCATTGTCTGCAAACACAAAAAGTTCCAGGTATCAAGCGGGTACGGGTACGGGCGGGTACGGGCGGGTATATCGCTACCCGCATGGAAACCCTACTATTACTCTTGTCCGAAATCAATGCACGTTGAGAAGCTTAGCTCCCACAGAGAGAACCTTACTGTATTTTTCAAATTATTGCACGCGCCTTTAATACAGTACCTCAACATTTATCGAATTTTTGCCTTTTTCTCTCATTTTTTCGCTTGTTTCTGTCTAATTTTGTCTAATTCTTATAAATCTTCAATTTATTTTTCTTATAAAATAGAAAAAAAGCAGCCAAATAGGGCCCAAAATAAAAAACGTCCGAGGTACGGTATTCAAAGGCGCATGCATCAATTTGTTTTTTCGTTGTGCGACCGACGATGCGATTTTGAGTAAATTTTCGGCCGCAACGTGCATTGATTTCGGACGAGAATAATACTAAATATTTGTACAGTTTTTGTTCAAAATCCGAAATTTTGCAAAAATTCCGGAATTTCTTTTTTTTTTGCAAATTTCGAATTTTTAGAAATTGCAAACGCGCTCTATCGAACTTTTCTTAATTTTCGGATTTCGAGTGCGATAGAGCGCCTTTTCCACATGCGAAATTTCAAAAAAGCACCTGAAAATCGATCTTTGTGAAATTTCTAAAAATCCTGTAACCAAAAAAACATATGTCTATCTGTCTGTCTGTCTCTCCGGATGTCCTTTTTTGTTTCCGTTTGAACTTTTAATATTTGCACAGCTTTCGTTCAACAAAAATTCAAAAATTCCAAAAAAGAACCATTTTTTGCAAAAATTCTAAAAAAAAAACCCCCCGAAATTTTGCAAACATTTTAAAAACTCCGGAATTTCATCATATTTTTTTTGGAAAATGTTGAATTTTTAGAAATTGCAAGTGCGCTCTATCGAACTTTTCAAAATGTTCGAATTTCAAGTGCGATAGAGCGCCTTTTCCACATGCAAAATTTCAAAAAAGCACCTACCACTCCCAAAATATACAATCCCGCTCCAATGATCATCGCCGAGATGGTGGTCCCAAGAATCGCAAATGTCAAAATTGGCACAAAATTCGAGAAGAAGTATCCCTTATTCAAATTATACGCATTCTCAAAGATAATCGGTGGTAGAAGGACTAGAAAGAAGACGTCAGGACTCAACGCTTCAATTTCACTCCAATCCCGCTGCGAATATGATAATATCGATCCAATCAGTGCTCCGAGAGCAACAATTGCCAGCGATTCTGGCATCCAATGGATTTTCGACACTATTAGCATATGGACAACGAGTGTAGCTAGCATTATCACGAATAGAATGAAGAATATCGCCAGCGATCGCTTCTTCTCTTCCGACACATTTCCAACGATCGCCGCACCGTGTTGCTCGAGACTTGTCGCGTTCGCGTCGATGGTTTCGCTGAAACTTTTCGGAATTCAGAATTTGGGGATTTTCAGAACAAAAAATGCTGAAATTGAGACATTTTAAATTAAAAATCACTGAAAACCGCTGAAAATTAGCCGAGTTAGAGCATTTTGAAATTTTACTGAGGCTTAGAAACTTTTGTAGTTTGTAGTCACTTAGCCTCAATCGCTATAGCTCGACTAGTTGTCATTCGTTTTCACTGATTTTTTGGCTAGAAATTTGTCAAAATTTCAAAATTTCAGATTACAGACTACAAACTACAAAATTTTTTCAAAGCCTCAGTAAAATTTTTTAAGTCATTTTTTTTAATTTTCTGAAATTTATAGCTTTTCTCAATAAAACTAAAAAAAATGAGAAATTTCAAGCCAAAAATCACTGAAAATGGTTAGCCACGTTACAGCGATTTTCAAATTTTACTGAGGCTCAGACTAAAAACTACAAAATGTTATAAGCCTCAGTAAAATCAAAAAATTCCTCTTTTATCGAATTTTCAGAAAATTTCGACTCACATCAGAAATTGTTTTTGAAAAGTTTGGAATTTTCGAAAAAAAAGCATTTTTGTAGTTTGCAGCCACCATAAATTGAGACACCCCAATTTTTACTGAGGCTTAGGAAGTATTATAGTTTGTAGTTTTCGAAAATATGGAGTTTTGAGACGATTCGGTTGAAAATCCGCCGAGAAATCGCGTGTTTTTAAGTTTTACTGAGGCTTAGAAAATTCTATAGTTTGTAGTCTAAGCCTTAGTAAAATTTTAAAACGCTGCAACTTGGCTAATTTCGGGCCGTTTTCAGTAGTTTTTGGCTAGAAATGCTCAGTATTTCTGGATCTATGCGTTTTGCTGAGGCTAAGCGACTACAAACTATAACATGCTTCTAAGCCTCAGTAAAAAATTCAACTGAACCGTTTTTCATGATTTTCAGCTCATTTTTATCTACTTTTTAACAAAAAACCTACCCCAACACGTCAGTCTTATTCACCGCCACCACTTCTTCAGTTTTGATCGTTCCGACGACGACGGCGCCGGTGGTAGAATCCGAATCGGCGGTACGGAAGATGAGAAGGCATATGCATATTGAGAGAACTGCAAAAAATCATGAATTTTCAAGAAAGGTGCTATAAATTTTGAGTGAAATTGCTTTGTAAAAATCGCTGCATTAAGAAAAACATCTGAAAGTTCCAAAAAAATGGTTTTGTTATTCTAGTTACATTGTTTTGAAATTTTACTGAGGCTTAGGAAAGTTTATAGTTTGTAGTCTAAGAAATGTTAAAAATTTTTAGCTAAAAATTACTGAAAACGGATGAAAACTAGCTGAATTGCTGCGGTATTAAATTTTACTGAAGCTTACGAAATTTTGTAGTTTGTAGTTTCTAAGCCTCAGTAAAAAAATTTCCAAACGCTCTAACTCGGCTAATTTTCAGCCGTTTTCAGTGGTGGTTAGCCTAAAATACTCGAAATTTTGCAAGATTTTGAAATTAATAGGCTACAAACTACAAAATTTTGTAAGCCTCAATAAAAATTTGAAATTGCTGTAATTCCTCATTTTCGACCGTTTTCGATGATTTTTAGCTCGAAATTTATTTCAAAATGTAAAATTAAGTCGATTTAGAAAATATCTCAAATTTTTAGCTAAAAATCACTGAAAACGGTTGAAAATGAGCCGAGTTAGCGCGCTTTGAAGCTTTACTGAGGCTTAGACTACAAACTACAAAATTTCCGAAGCCTCAGTAAAAATGAAAATCGATGTATCTCGGCTAGTTTTCAGCCATTTTCAGCGATTTTTGGCTTAAAATTTCTCAAATTTTCTATATTTTTCATTTAAATATACATTCCGAAAAGTTTCAGAAATCTTACCTGTTTTGACTGCAAATCTCATAATTCCACTTTTCGAGGTAATCAGCGACTCTCGAAGCTGCCACGTAGCACCATTCGCGAGTATTTTCTGGAAAATGAGGTCATTTTGAGGTTATAATACATTTTTTGGAAAAAAATTAGGCCAAAAAATGGCAAATTTCCTTCAAAATCTTAGAATCCACGTGGAATTTTTGGGCTGCTGGTGACCTAAAAATGGAAATAGCAACGTGGCATTAGTCTCATAGAGACATACATACATAGACACTTCAATCGAAATTCCCCTCCATTTTTCCCTCTCTTCTCTCTCTGCGTCTCTCACTCTCTCGCCCTCTCTTTCTCGCTTCGTTCTCATGTGAACGTGGAAAATGGGTGAGAGAGTGTGTGGAGCGCGGAGGGTGGCGAGACGACACGAGAGAAAGTGCGAAGCCAAATGGAAAGGAAGCCCGATGTATTTAGTATTGGGAAAGAAGAAGAAGGAGAAAGAAACCAGTCATTTTGTAAATAGACGAAAAAAAGAGTGCAAATTTTTTTTTTGTTCTTGGTGTCTCAAAAGAGCCTTAATTTTTGAAAATATGTCTTTTTGAAAATTTCCAAAATCCCTTTTTCAGACGATTTTTTGAAAATTACTTTATTTTCCCATTAGAATTTTTGAAAACAGCCAAAAAAATGATTAAAAACGATCCAAAAATCATGAAAATCGGTCGAGAATGAGTCCAGTTAAAGCTATTTCAAAAATTTACTGAGGCTTTGAAGATTTTGTAGTTTATAGTTTCTAAGCCATCTTCTTTTTTTGTAAATTTGCTGAAAATGAACTCCTCAAAATTCTGAGCATTTCTATCCAAAAACCGCTGAAAATGGCTGAAAATTCGCCGAGTTACAGCGAATACAATTTTTTACTGAGGCTAAGCGACTACAAACTATAACAATTATAAGCCTCAGTAAAATTAGAAATCGCTGTAATTCGGCTTATTTTCCACCGTTTTCAGCGAGTTTTAGCTCAAAGTCTGTCAAATTTTTTTAAAAAATATAAAAACGCCGGCGGCCGCCGCCGTTCGCCGGCGAAACGCCGAAATTTTGCCGCCGTTTTTCCGCCACCGCGCCGCCGGCGTTTGTTTTTCCCAGCCCTGGTTTTTGTAGTCTCGGACTACAAACTACAAAATTTCATAAGCCTCAGTAAAACTTCAAATCGCTGTATTTTAGCTAGTTTTCAACCGTTTTCGATTATTTTTTTTTTCGTCTTACCATGTTTTCTTCGCTTCGTTTTCGTCAGTTTTGGAATTAGTTTAAAAAGTATAATTATGTTTTAAATGGATGGAATGGATATGATCACCAGAATAACAAACGCCTTCTGAAGAAGCGTTTACGCTTCTTCTTCTGATTCAAATCCTCTTCCCAAAAAGTAGATCATTATCTCGTATACACTTTTCCGTCATCGTTTTTAGGACACAAATCGATCCACTTTTATTTTTCCAGAGAAAGAGAGAGCGAGAGAGAGGAGAGAGAAACAGAGAAAAAAAATAACGTCGTCGAATTTTTCACCAATAAGATCCAGCAATTCGGGGGGGGGGGGAGGGTAAATGGGCGGGGTTTGGGGGGAAATTTGAAAAAAAAACAAAAGATATCATTTTTTCGAATAAAATTGGTGGTGGTGGTGGCTTGGGATGGATTTTGAGGACCCCATCATGGGGTGGACAGAGGGGGGGGGGAGTATAAAATAAATTTAAATAAAAAAATTAAAAAAGAAAATTTCCAGGGAAATCCCAATTTTTCGGGGGTAAAAGGGGAAAAGGGAAGAAGGAGAGAGACACGAAAAAAAGCACGAGAGAGACCTACTAAAATATAGGGGAAAAAACCATTTTTGGGATTAAAAAAGGACAGGAGAGATTTTGGCGCATTGGGAGAGTGTGGGGATGGGGGGTTTTTTAATCTAAAAACAAAGGAGAATGTACAGAAGAGGGGAGAGCCTGTTTTTTGGTGTAGATTTTTGAGCACAAATGCCCCTAGATTTTTAAAAATCGAGTTTCAGGTTCAAAATTCCAAAAATCCCATCTAAATAAGTCTAAAATTCCTGTTTTCAGGACTAAAAATGACATTTTTCTGGGTCATTTGTGCTGCTTTTCGGGGACAAAATTTAAACCAAAAAAGGCGCGAAAATTAGAGAATGAAGCATAAAGGAAGAACACATTACAGAATAATGGAGAGGAGGAAATTGGGCTATTATGACTCCAGTAATTCAAAAAAGGGGACTTTTGGTTGGTAATAAACGGGGAGAGAGAGAGAAGGAGAGGCGAGAAGTCAAATTGATGATGATGATTGATGTTAAAACAAAAGGAAAATAAGACAAATCCACACTTTCATTTATTCAGGGGGGGGGGGGGGAAGCCTCTTAGGCCGATGGTCCAGCCATATCTCCACCCGTCGCAGACACCTCATTCGGTCCGTCCATTTCCAGTTGTGGCAGTGCTCGTCCCGATGGAAGTCGTGCGTCTGGACTCCTGAGCTCGTCGAAGAACGCGTGTTGGCATGCCTGGAATAAGACATTTTTCAGGTTTTTGAGATATCCAATTTGGTTCACTACAAACTACAAAAAGTCTGAAATTCCTTCAAGCCGGAATTCACTGAAAACGGTTCAAAACTAGCTGAATTATAACGATATGAAGTTTTACCGAGGCTTATGAAATTCTGTAGTTTGTAGTCTAGGAAATTTAAAGACAAATTCACAGTTAAAAATTATCACAAATGACCGAAAACGAGCGATATTACAACGGTTTCCTTTTTTTTACTGAGGCTTAGACTACAAACTACAAAATAGCTAAGCCTCAGTAAAAATTCAGAATCGCTGTAATTTCGCACATTTTCAACCATTTTCGATGATTTTCAGTTCGAAACGTATAAAATTTTCTAGACTACAAATTACAAAACTTTCTAAGCCTCAGTAAAAAAACCAAAAATCGCTGTAACATGGCCATTTTTTGGCGGTTTTCCGCCGTTTACGTATAGAAATGACTAAAATCGAAACTACAAACTACAAACTACAAAATGGTGTAAGCCTCAGTAAAATTTCTAGACGTCATATTTCCGTTCCGAAATTCGGTTATTTTGCTCATTTTTCTTGTAAATTGGGGGGTTTTTTTTTGTTAGAAAAAAAATGTCTAAATTCTCAGACCAACAGTTCAGATTCTCTAGCCAATTTCGATTTCTTAAAAACGCCAAAAATAAAGAGAGAGAAAATGTGAAAGATTAAATCTGGATTCGGAATATCCGAATCCAATTTTTTAGACTACAAAACGGAGAAAATGGAGGGGAAAATCCCAGGACGAGGGAATGTGTTACAAAAAAGAACGAGATTTTTGCAGATTCGGTGGTGATCAAAAAACTACAGTAAAATAAAATAAACATATATATATATGCAAGATGGATGGCTCCTGGACGTTTCAGAACCCGACGTTTCGGAACCACGACGTTTCAGAACCCGACAGTTCAGAACCCGACGTTTCAGAACTTTTCTGCATTTTTGTATAGTGGTTTTTGCGCACCAGATGAGCATTGCTCATTTCAATGTTGTGTTTTTCTGCTTTTTTGTTCATTCTCATCTACCGTACTCCAAATAATGATAGGTTCACACTGGGAATCTCTCAAAAAATCGAAAAAATTGAAATTTTTAAGAACGATGTCTAGAAGTACGCAATAATTTTTCCGGTGAATAGAAGTTTCATTTTGAATGGTTTTATTAATGACATCGTTTTTCAAAAGCTCAACTTTTTCGATTTTTTGAGAGATTCCCAGTGTGAACCTATCATTATTTGGAGTACGGTAGATGAGAATGAACAAAAAGCCGAAAAACACAACATTGAAATGAGCAATGCTCATCTGGTGCGCAAAAACCACTATACAAAAATGCAGAAAAGTTCTGAAACGTCGGGTTCTGAAACGTCCAGGAGCAGAT